GCTGTGACTCCCTTGCGCTGAGGCTGTGGCGGGAACTTACTGGCCCCGAGTTCACACTAATGTATTTCTCTGAAGCCGAGGGAGGGGGGTGGGCTTCAGAGCCCGAACTCCAGCCTGAGCCACGACTTCAAAGCGCTGTCTAAGCAGCTATTTTTAGAGCGCTAGGGCAAGCCTGGCTCCCAAGTCTATCGACCTGGGCTGGGAGGCTCTGAATCGCTACAAAATGCCGTGTGGACACACCCCTAGCGGGTCAGTCCAGTGTTCCAGGGGCTGGCAAACCCCGAAGGGAGTTACACGTTCAATTTCAGCAAGGAAATGTTCCCTCTCCGAGGAACCTGGGCATCTGCAAAAACCACGTCGCTCAAAGAAGATAGAAAATGGGCAGCATGAAATCATTGCCCAGGGCTGACTGTCAGCTCCCAGGGGAACGAACTGAGTGGAGAAGGGGGCGGAGTGGGCTCAGCAGAGCTAGGCAGAGAAGGAGGAGTCTGATGGGATGGAGAATCCCACCGGAGAAATGCTCACAACTGGCTGCATGCTGGGCGAAAGGGGAGGGGTCCACACAGGGCAATATTTGCAGATATTTGTATTCGTTGCATCACTGGACGAAGACGTTTCCACTCAGGACCTGCCCATCCAGTCAGTTTTGCAGTTCTCTTTCCTTCCTCTTTGACCTGCCAACCCACCACTGATGGGGTAATTCAGCCCCAGAAGTTCAGGCTCCAACACCTGTTCTAAATCCTCCAGGCCAGGCTGCTTCCATTAATAAACTTGTGGGTCTCTTCATGCTACTGCTGGGAAAACTTAGTTGCACAGAGAGCTGGAGATATGTTTTTGTACAGCACCCGGCACAATGCAACCACCATTCTGATCAGGGCCTCTGGGTGTCACTGTAATAGACACATCGATAATCTGAGAATTTTTCTTTCACCCCTGGAGACACGAGTTCAAATCCTGATTTAGGTCACAATTGAAAACCTGTTTGGTGGTTCCACCGGTGTCCCCAGTTACACCCAATACAAACTGGCCACTGGATAGAAATGAATGGAAATGTTGCCCTAAGAAAGGCTGAGGACTGTTGGAGCAGAGCTGTTCCAGACTGGGGACGGTAAAACAGGGCAGAGGCCTGTGGCTGGGATAACTGATGCCTCCCAGGTCAGGATTGGAATGGGAGACTCTTGTACAGAACAGCCCTACGCCCTGTCTCGCTGCAGCCGGAGTGACCAGTGATGGAACGGAGCTCAGAGCTCATTCCCAGCGGGCCCTGTGCCACGGAGGCTGAACGGATGACAGCGAGGGTGTCTCTGTGTTAAAACATTTGCTGCTGCTGGATGGGGAATGTGTCCTAGCAGCTGCTGTGCGTCACATCTGGAACCAGGGAAATCCACCAGCTCCTCAGACAGGTGGGAAGCTTGTCTCTCTCTAAAGCAGGGCCCCCAGTGACCCCAAGAGCGCACAGAGGGGAACTTGGCCTGCTCTGTGCTCTCAGCCCAGTGAAACAACCTCTCTTGGGTTGGCTCGG